GCCACTGTTGCCTCCTGGCCCGCCTGCTCCACGCGCTGCCTGGACTGATCGTCGAGCTGGTGGTGCGCCAAAGACAACGCATGGCAATCGCGCACGCCAGAGGACATGGCAACGAAAGCCCGCCATGCTCCACCCCCTCCTCGCAACCTTCCTGCGGTCCTGGCCTCGTCGGTCGCGCCGGTCGCGCTTGTAGGTGCTGCTGCGGAAGACGCGCCTGGCATCTGGAAAGGTTCGCCTGTCAAGTTTCTCGCGCCGCAATGGCGCAGACGCTGGCCAATCCACTCAGCCGAGGCTCGGGTCAAGTCTACAGTCTTGACTTGAGTACTGAGAACATTCAATATTCTCCGCGTCGACGCATGGAGCGCCTCCACGTTTGCCATGTCCACTCGTGCTTCCCTGGCAATGGTCATCAGCCGCAGGCGCGTCACTGGGTCGAAGGGGTCATTCTTCTCTCAGAAATCGCGGCTGAAAGAACATAGTCTGCACGGTGTTTTCATGTCATTGGCGATCTCTTCGGCCAAGGGCAGGTGCTTAATAAGCCTGAAGAGCTTGAACGGGTATTTCTGGTGCTCTGATTTGTCCAGCTGCTCGACGAGGGCCCCACGCCGAGCTACCAATCTGAATATGAAAGAATTCGTCTCGTTAGTGCAACGCCCATCGCCAATCGACGCCCACATAATGTCCTCGTCATACAAGTACGACAAGCTGTCTAGACACCCTTGCTCTAGCTTGCACTCTGCGACTTCCACAACTCGAAAGGACCTGCTGGTGTGAGCGATGTCGCCTGGTCCTGAAGCTCCGTGCGATTTCCTCGCCATCGCCTCGGATCGGCGCTGCTTGTCCCCCCAATCGGCGCTGGACATGTCGAGTTGCGCATGCAGCGCGGTCGTCAGCGGGTGGAGCACCAACCTCAGAATGACCAGGTCCGCGGCTGGATTCGATGTCACCCACTGGGTCGCAAAGAGCCTGTCCTTCGCGATCAGCTCGGCCCACGTACTGCTATCGAGGTTGGCGCTCCTGGGATCGTTGGCAGCAGAAGCAGCGCCTGCGGCCTCTGGCTGGCGCGGGGCCTCATCGTCGGCCTCTTGGCCGCCTCCTGGGCCGTCGCCAACGGGATCAGCTTCGATGTCCTCGATGGCTTCATCCACGCGCGGCGGGGCCCCCGCCTGATGTTGCGGGCGCCGGGCGCTGCGAGCACGGGTTCCTTGCGAAACAGCCCACCTCGGGCAAGTAGCGCTCAGGAGGCCGCGGCAGAACTCCAGCCCCCCGATCTCGTCGACCGCATCTCCACTACCAGTCCACCTGTGGCGAGGGAGCACAGTGAACGCCTTGGATGCAAAGCAAAACGCCATGCCTTCCGCTACCCAAGATTTTATCTTGATAATATATGCCTCGGTGGCGTTCTCGGGGCGCATGTCCAAGTGAATCCATCTGCCCTTTCGGGCTCGAGCGGTTCAAGGGGCTCGTTCTTCCAACCCTACTCTCTCCCCCTTCCCCTCCCCGAAAGGGGGGGGGGGGGGGGCAGGCGATCTCCGAGTGCAGGAGTTTCCCTTGTCTCGTGTCTCCACTGCGTGGAAGGGTGCTGCGACAGACGTCGCACTCATGCCGTTCGCATTCGCGGAGCTGGCGCACGAAGAACGGGCATACGCACCATGCAGACAGGAGGCTCCCAGGAGGGCCCCGCGCGCCCCAACGTGGCCCCATTGATGCCCCAAGATGGGCCCAAGCGGCCTCGAACAGCCTCCCACGTCGTCGTCGTCGTCGTCGTCGTCGCCGCCCTCCCCCTCTAGCAGGGGTCCGCGTTGTCAAAACCAAAAAATGTGCATCCCCACCGAGGTGTCCACCGACGTGTTCTGCCAATGCCCCCTTGACCCCTCCCGCTCCCCTAAGGCGGGCCCTCGGGCCGTAGAATCCCCCTGCAACCCATGAGCCCAATAGGTAGCACGCTGGTGGGGAAGCGGTGCATTCCATTGCATGCCCTTACGCCTTTACGCTTCCCTCATCAAGGCAACTCGCCTGGGCATCTCAACATCTTCCTGAAAAAGGCCGACGGGGGTGCGCGAAGCGCCAGCGATTTCAACATGTCTCGTGTTCCTCCAGTCCCCATTTGCAAACTTGCTCAACGCAACGAACTTTCTGATAAGATTTCTGCCGCTCCTGCAAAACAGCGCGAGCACCCTCCGACGATGCACGTCCGCTGCGCGGGGAGGCACGCCAAATTGTACATCGAGCATCTCAATGATGACTTGTTTCAGCGCGCGCCTGAATGACGACATCTGCCCAGACAGCTTCAAAAACAAAGCGCAGCGTATCATTCCAGATATGGTGCTTTCCATCAAACCAAAAGTAGACTTGTGGCACGTAGCCGTCACATGTACACCACAATATAACTGCACTTGTTGCCAACCTTGTCGTTCTGAGCGCTTGATGCCCCTCTCGCACTTCGTATTCGATGACCCCTTGTCGGCGCACACAACCCTGGCGTGCTGCTCGAAAGCTTTGCGTCCAAGAGACATCCCCCAGACGCGCTTGAGCGCTTCCCGCGTCGCCTCCCCAGTGACCCTGTCCAGGGCAAGCAGCGCGTTCACCGACTCCCCAGAAATGGTCGTGTACTTGGTGATGCCGTCGACCGTCTTGGAAACCAACATTGAGTAAGACGATTGTACTTGTAAGAGCTTTGCCGTAGATGTCTCGGTGAACGCATCCAGCATGAATTTGGGGAGCTTATCCTGTAGAACCTTACCGTTGTGAATCGCTGAAGGCTGAAATATTTCCAAGAACTCGAGGAGCAATTGCATGTCACAATCAAGGTGCGAGTCACGAAGGCGAATGGCCATGGGAGCTTCGTCATAGTATTCTCCTTCCACATAGTGTAAACATTGGAACGTTTGATCTGCCGCAAAAGTTTTTTTCCAGCAACCCCCTGCCGAAACAATCTGCCTGAACTGCGCACTCAGCCAATCGCATGGAGTATCGCCGAGCTGTGCGACTGGAGCACCCCACAGATTCACTGACCGATACCAAACTGCATACGTGGTGGCCCTTTGTGTTGAAGGTGAACATGTTTGAGGCTAGCTTGCATAGGCTGCAGTCGTTGTCCAATATACCAGGCACCGCCAAGGCCCACACGCCTTGCAGCGCTGGCCCCAGGGGCGACGGCACGAAAGGGACGATTGAACCGCAAACCACATCATGGAACACGTCGTACTCGATTGCAGTGAGTGTCGGTCGGCGTCGTTTGGCAGGCGGTGGTGCTTCTACCGCCAAGGCACGCACGTCCGTAGCAGGCCCAGGGTGTTTCTTTGGTCGGCCGCGCCGTTTCGGTGCCAATACAGGTCTCGGTGCCAATACTAGCGTTGTCGGTGCCAATACAAGCCTCGGTGCCAATACAGGTTGGAGTGCCAACACAGGTTGAATGCCACCACCGGCGTCATCAGAAGCAAATTCAGCCCATTGGTCTGGCTGTGAGTCTAATGAAAGATGAGCCCATTGATCCATGCAGCCGCGCAAGATAGCGGCGAGAAGATAAAGAGACTTCATCATATGTAGCACATGAGGCGAAACGATGTTCTCGTGAATATGGAAGAAAGCCTTACTTGAGCCAAAACTGGCTACGCAAGGTGCAACTGCCACGTGCTGAAGACGCCAGCGCAACCCCAATTAGCGTCCATTTCGGAAGCATTGCCGACTTGGTATTCGTTTCAAACGTTGTGGGCGGGGTATTGTTCATTATAAACAAAACATCACTGCACATCCTAGGGTTTTAATCAAGAAAACACGGCCGCATGCGCGGAACTGGGAACCATAGTGCGGGCCACTCCTACGGTGGCTGCAAATGCGCTAATGGGCCCAAGGGTTGTCATATACCCCAACTGGTTTCGCCCGCTCGTTGGGTCGGCTATTGGCCATGATTGCTCTAACGTAGCAGGGGCTCGCTCGGCTTCGCAACGATTTGGGGATGTTTGACAATGCTTCGCGCGGCATTGCATTACATTGCGGTTTGTTGGTTTGCGTGTTGTTTCGTGCCGTGTGTTGCGTTGTGCATTCACGTTGTCGATGTACGTGGCGTGCGGTCGGTCTGTCCTTCCGAAGAAGGAAAGCAACGCAACGCAAAAACTAATGCAACGCTGTCCCCAACAATGCCAATGCAATGCTTTGCGACGTAAATGCAATGACAAGCCAAGGCAATGCAACGCAATCGCAACCCAGCGGCCGCAACCACACCGAAAAAGGAGCGCCCAAACAGTGATCTCACACACCGATGTCACGAGTGTTTTTTGAACGTTTTAAATATTCAACCGCTGTAGGGGACACGCCCTACACAAGACGAGCGCCGTAGGCCAGCACGGCGGACCCTGCATGGTCGCGACCCCATCGAGGCCTCCGAGAGGCCCCCAAGAAACCCCGCAACGCCAAGACTGTTCTGCGCTCCAGACCTGCACCCCCTGCACCCCACGATGCTGCTGGGAATCTTCATCTTCATCGCTGCCACCTCGAGCCGTCCCTGCCAAGAGAGAAACCCGCCATCCAGGTGGGCAAAGACACGAAGGGGGATCCTCATCCGCGCCGGGATGTGGCACTGAGGCAGAGGAACAACACATTGCACAAACGTAGTTCGTTTGTCGGAGGCCCACGCTGATTTATTGGATCGGCGCTGGGGCATGGAGCTGCGGCTCCTCTCCGCTCCGATTTCCCTCCCTGGCGCGCGCGCCAGGGGCGCCGCCGGGGGGGGGGGGGCAGTGCCGACCCAAAAGTCTGCGAGGAGCTTAGAAATTATGTACGCCGTTCTTTAGACTTCGAAGCGGGCCGCGAAGCCTCTGGCAAAATGAACTGGAAGAGGCTGGTCAGCCGTGCAGGGGGCGCAGAGGACTGTGGCGGGGTATCCTCCCGATGGGCTCCACCTCGCCAGGAACGACCCCGCCGCCCCACCTCGCCCCCGCATCCCGGCTCTCTGGGACCCTCTGGCAAAAGCAAAAGGGAACCCCGCCAAAGGAGACCGGTCAGCCATGCAGAGGGCGCAAGAGGTCGGGGCGGGGCGTCCTCCTGATGGGCTCCACCTGCGCCTCCAGGTCGCCGAGCTTCGCCTCGACGCCCAAGGGTGGGCCACGGCGACGACGACGAAGACAACGACAACGAACGACGGGCGACGGACGACGGAGGATGGAGGAGGAGGACGGCAACGACAAGGACGACGGGCAACGAACAGACAACGGACGAACGACGTCTTTGGGAATGCCTAGACGTGCTCCCAGGACTGCGCAGGCCCCGTGAGGTGCCGCAGCGGCCGCCGTTCCGGCCACGGCGCGCGCCAAAAAAGTGGGCCCCCGGGCGTCGTCCCGAAGAGGGCCCCGAGGCACCCCCTCCCGGGCACTCCAGATTTCGTAATACAGGGAGGGGGGTCTCATTTCGGGGGGGGTCTCTTCCAGGCTATATCCTGGAGGGCCTGGGGGGTCTGGGGACGATGTTCTGGAGGGTTCTCCCACGGGGGGGGGGGTCTGAAATGACTTGTCTTGGAGGGTCCAGACCCCCCCCTTTTACTACGAGATCTGGAGTAATTGCGTCTGTTCTGGGGCACGTCTGGCCTTCCCTAAACAAAAATCGAGGATGCGGCCGAGGGAGGGGCGCCCAGAGCGTGCCAGGGGCAGGCTGTGCATGCAGGTTAGCGACCGCGGAGTCTAACCGACTGAGATGTCCGTTGGCAGGGGACGATGCGGAAGAGGGGAGAGATCCCTTTTCCCATGCGCCGCGGGCGAACGACGTTAGTCCTGCCAGATAGGACTGTCCAGTACCTGAGCCGAAACGGTAGCAGGATAGGTGGATATAAAGGTGATATGAGCGGACTTCACACACATCGGCGGGCCCAAGGAGTGGAATTCCTTTACTCCACCATCTGGGGGGGGGCGGATGGGGGAAGAGGAGACTCTTTGCTCGGGCAGCTGCGCATGGTTGCACTGTTTATCATCCTACACGTGGCTCGACAACCTGCCTCACCATGCCACTGCTCAGCTGGCCAGACTTTCGCGCTCGCCAGATGGAGTACGGCCACACAGACTGACATCTCTTTCAATCCCACGTCAGGTGTTGCGATTGCTAGGCTAGCCACGCACCCTGCAAAGGCAGCGGATTGATGCCGGAGCGCCAGCAACACTTCAAAAGAAGCTCGCAGAGAGGAACCCTGAACCGTGTGTGCCAGAGGCTGATGAGCGAGAGGCTGCGTCGTTTACTGCGTCGGCCACATCCCTGCTCCCCGCCTCGGTGCCCCTGCCGCAGATTCTGCCAGGCCGTCCGCGCCTCACCCAGGAGCAGCACACCCCCGCTGCCTCCCGCACGCTGCGCCACCGCAGGCTGCGCCAGACACGCCGCGCCCCGCCGGATCGCGACCCCCCCGAGCTCTGCCTGCCTTCCCTCGTGCCCACTCCGTTCTGCGCCATATACGCTGCGCCGTGTTTCGGCCCTCGCCCACAGTTCGAATGTTTGAAGGCGCGGCCCCGCGACAAAGGTGGAGCCGCGGGGCGCGCAGTCGACGCGAAAACAAGGCGCACCTGCGGCGCGAGCACGAGCACCTCCGCTCCCCCGGCCGCGAGCCCGTCGAGGCTCTGCCCAATCCGCGAGGCACGCGTCGAGACCGCCAGCATCTTCGTCCTGGCGCTGCTTGTCCTCGTCGGCTTCGGTGCCGTCCTTGCAGTAGGCCCCGTTACCGAGCTCCGTGTTTCCGTCACCGCCGTCCTCCCGAGCGCTCGTCGGGCAACGTCCTGCGACAAGCTTGACGTGTGTCAGCTTGGCGACTCATCGCCTGACACTTGGTCCGCGGCGCGTACTCGATGACCGAAGTCGGCCAGCTGCTGCCGCGTGCTAACACCGCTGTATGCCTCTTCGTGCTGATGCCCCAGAAATGCCAGGGCTGCTTGAAGGCCATCGTTGACTGAAGTGCTGTCGCTGATGCCATCGCTTGCGCCGTCGTGCCGCATGGTTTGCTATCGCCTCGCTTCTGTCTCACCACGCAATGTGTCCACACAGCGCCGTGTCGACACTACCCTGCGCGTTCGCCTTTCGCCTCTCCAGATGACTTCGCATTCGCTCGATTCTGGCTTTGCCATCTTCGTCCGATGTCAGCACGCCGACATAGTAAACAGTATGTGCAACTACGTACCCATGGCCACGAAAATCTGGGCGAAGATGTATCGTAACCGTTTTCCTGTATGACTGATATGAGCGTCCGTAGTGGCTGTGGAGGTCCAACCATCCGCTATTCGTCCTCAATGAAATTGTATCGCTTGCCATAATACCACTGGGTATTCGACCTGAACAACTCGAAAAATAGATTCTTGGTGAGGAGCGCAAGCAGGATAAATGCTGTAGCGACGACAACGCGGTCGGCGGAGAATGAATATTCAACGACCGTCGCATCGGCAGATTATAGAGGTGGGCGCTCGTTTCACCCCAGTGGCTAGAAGGGGAAGCGACGGTATAACGCGTCAACATACACTTGTGAAACCCCGCGCGGGCTTCTTGGATAGGCGTCAGACACCCCTCCCTGGCGCGCGGAGCGCGCCAGGGGCGGCGCCAGGGGCGGCGCCAGGGGCGGCGCCAGGGGCGGCGCCAGGGGCGGCGCCAGGGGCGGCGCCAGGGGCGCCCAACGCCGATTCAAGAAATCCGCGCGGCGCTTCGAAAAGCTCTGCAGCGGCTCCCCACATGGGGTCCGAACAGATGGGGTCGGAGGAGGATCGCGCCGCATCCCCGATGCATCGCCGATGCCGTCGGCGACGCCTCGGCGGCGTCGGCGTGGAGGAAACAAGGCTCCACATCGAGCCGCATCGCCGCTGCATCCGCGATGCGGCGCGACCCTCCGGCCCCGTCTGCTCGGGCCCGATACGGCAGGCCTGGACTGCAGTCGCCTCATTTTGGCACCAAACAAGCCTAGGCGGAAAACAAACCTACCTCGCGTTTGACCACCCTCGCTTCCAAGAGATACCAAGCGACGCCAAACTACGGCCTGTACTGGCCAGGTCGCTTGACGAGGAGGCGCGTGGTATGACTTGTTTTTTTCCTGGAAGCGAAAGCGGGGTAGGTAATTCACGCTCTGAAAGCCTGGGTGCATGAGGGAGGCTGGAGGACCAACCACGGAATGACCCGAGGAACAGCGAGCCCCTTCCGAGCGCAGAGCGGTCTCTGCTTCCGCGTCCTGGCTGTGTGTCTCGAGGCCGCCCAGACGGGGTCGGCGTAGAGAGGGCCGAACGACCGCGCAGAGCCGCCGCTGCAACGGCGACACAGCGGCGGCGATGCAGCGGCGATGTATCGGCGACGTCGGCGATGCATCGGAGACCAGAGACGTCGACGCGAAGCAGCCCGGGCTGCACATCGAGACGCATCGGCGATGCATCGGCGACAGGCGCGATCCTCCGACCCCATCCACTCCGACCCCATCTGGGAGGCCTAGACTTGGACAAGCGCGTCCCACTACTCGCAGAGTGGCTACTGGCAAGTGGCCTGGATCCGCCGCGAGGCATGCACCATGCATTCCACAAGGAGGGAGCCATGTTTTTTGTTCGGACGCTTGCGAGCAGGCACTCTGCGAGCAGCGGCACGCGCTCGGTGATCAGAATGTCTCCGTCGCTGCTTCTCTGAGGGGAGGGGAGGGGGAGGTTCGGCTCAGGTGGCAGCGGCGTCAGCAGGAGCCACAAGGGCAGCAGCGTCGGCTGCCACGAGGTGGAGCTGGGGCTCGGGATGGTGGCCCTACCGAGCGGCTGGCGGGCCCCCGCCAGCCGATGTGGGGCTGCCCACCCAGACCCCCGACGTAATGATTTTTTCATTACGTCGACCCCCAGAGGTCCCGACCCCTTCCCCATGACTGGCGTTGCATCCCGAGTCGTTTTGTTGACGCTCCCGAGGCCCGGTGAGGGCCCCCAAAGGCCGAACATCAGGAACAACCTCCCGTCATGATTTTTTCATTACTCGAGGGGGGCTGCCCGTGCGGGGTGGCCGACAGCTGGGCATGCCGCGCGGCCTGCCGGGGTTGCGGCCGCCGCGCGCCCCGCTCGGCAGACGCGCCGCCCGCGCGGGTGGCGCAGCCAGGCCGGGCGCCCCGGTCCGAGACGAGGGCGCCGTGGGCTCCATAGGCGGCGGGGCACCGAGGCGACGCAGCGGCTCCGCGCCCAACCACGGAGGCTGCGCCTGCGGCTGCGGGCGGCCCAGCGGCGGCTGCGGAGGCCGCCGACGCCACGGTGGCCGAGCCGGCGCCTGCGGAGCGCCTTGCAGCCGTGCGCGCCCGCCTGGCGGCGAACCGGGGCTTCCCGGATCTTGCCGCTGAGGTGGCGCAGTGGGAGGCGGAGGAGGCGGCGCTGGTGGAGGCGGAGCGCGCGGCCCGGCCTCTCGAGCGCCCTCTCGAGCGCCGGCTGCAGTCGGCAACGGATGCGTTGCGGCACCGCGTCGAGGCGGCCCTGCAGGCGCGGCAGGCAGCTGCCGACGCTCGGGCGGCGGCCGCGCGGGCGGCGCAGGTGCCCGCGGCCAAGCAGGAAGAAGCGGAGCGTGCGGCTGCCGAGGAGGCCGCCGCGCAGCGGACGTTGGCGTCCGTGCAGGCCGAGGTGGCCGCTGGTGGCGCCGCAGGGCCGGCGCCTGGCCCTGCAGGTGCCCCCGTGGGAGGGCTCGACGGGGCCTTCGCGGCGCTTGCTGCCGCCGCCGCCCCTGGGGTGCAGACCGTCGTGGCCGGCCTGCTGCAGCAGCTCCACGGAGCGCTCGCGCAGGCACCAGGAGGCGGCGGCGGGGCGGCCCCTGCAGGAGGTGCAGTGGTGGCAGCGGGCAGCCCCGTCGCCTCAGTGCCTGCCGCCGCCGCCGCCGACGGTGGCGGTTCCCGCTCTCCTGCCGCCGCTGCTGCGCTGGCGCTGCCGGAGGGCCCTGGTCCCACGGCTGTCGCCGCGCTGGCCGAGCGGGGCGCGGGGGGCTGCGCCTGATGGACGGCTCGCGGCTCGCGCCTGCTCACGGCGGGCTCGTCGCACCAGCTGCCGAGGCGGGCGCCCTGACCAGGCGGCCGGCGGTGGCGAGGCTGCTCTCAGAGCGCCGTGCAGGGCGGCGGTTCGTGAGTGGTGGC